TGTGTGGCCTGTCTGCGCGCAGAGGTGAGGGGCCCCTGTGTGGCCTGTCTGCGCGCAGAGGTGAGGGGCCCCTGTGTGGCCTGTCTGCGCGCAGAGGTGAGGGGCCCCTGTGTGGCCTGTCTGCGCGCAGAGGTGAGGGGCCCCTGTGTGGCCTGTCTGCGCGCAGAGGTGAGGGGCCCCTGTGTGGCCTGTCTGCGCGCAGAGGTGAGGGGCCCCTGTGTGGCCTGTCTGCGCGCAGAGGTGAGGGGCCCCTGTGTGGCCTGTCTGCGCGCAGAGGTGAGGGGCCCCTGTGTGGCCTGTCTGCGCGCAGAGGTGAGGGGCCCCTGTGTGGCCTGTCTGCGCGCAGAGGTGAGGGGCCCCTGTGTGGCCTGTCTGCGCGCAGAGGTGAGGGGCCCCTGTGTGGCCTGTCTGCGCGCAGAGGTGAGGGGCCCCTGTGTGGCCTGTCTGCGCGCAGAGGTGAGGGGCCCCTGTGTGGCCTGTCTGCGCGCAGAGGTGAGGGGCCCCTGTGTGGCCTGTCTGCGCGCAGAGGTGAGGGGCCCCTGTGTGGCCTGTCTGCGCGCAGAGGTGAGGGGCCCCTGTGTGGCCTGTCTGCGCGCAGAGGTGAGGGGCCCCTGTGTGGCCTGTCTGCGCGCAGAGGTGAGGGGCCCCTGTGTGGCCTGTCTGCGCGCAGAGGTGAGGGGCCCCTGTGTGGCCTGTCTGCGCGCAGAGGTGAGGGGCCCCTGTGTGGCCTGTCTGCGCGCAGAGGTGAGGGGCCCCTGTGTGGCCTGTCTGCGCGCAGAGGTGAGGGGCCCCTGTGTGGCCTGTCTGCGCGCAGAGGTGAGGGGCCCCTGTGTGGCCTGTCTGCGCGCAGAGGTGAGGGGCCCCTGTGTGGCCTGTCTGCGCGCAGAGGTGAGGGGCCCCTGTGTGGCCTGTCTGCGCGCAGAGGTGAGGGGCCCCTGTGTGGCCTGTCTGCGCGCAGAGGTGAGGGGCCCCTGTGTGGCCTGTCTGCGCGCAGAGGTGAGGGGCCCCTGTGTGGCCTGTCTGCGCGCAGAGGTGAGGGGCCCCTGTGTGGCCTGTCTGCGCGCAGAGGTGAGGGGCCCCTGTGTGGCCTGTCTGCGCGCAGAGGTGAGGGGCCCCTGTGTGGCCTGTCTGCGCGCAGAGGTGAGGGGCCCCTGTGTGGCCTGTCTGCGCGCAGAGGTGAGGGGCCCCTGTGTGGCCTGTCTGCGCGCAGAGGTGAGGGGCCCCTGTGTGGCCTGTCTGCGCGCAGAGGTGAGGGGCCCCTGTGTGGCCTGTCTGCGCGCAGAGGTGAGGGGCCCCTGTGTGGCCTGTCTGCGCGCAGAGGTGAGGGGCCCCTGTGTGGCCTGTCTGCGCGCAGAGGTGAGGGGCCCCTGTGTGGCCTGTCTGCGCGCAGAGGTGAGGGGCCCCTGTGTGGCCTGTCTGCGCGCAGAGGTGAGGGGCCCCTGTGTGGCCTGTCTGCGCGCAGAGGTGAGGGGCCCCTGTGTGGCCTGTCTGCGCGCAGAGGTGAGGGGCCCCTGTGTGGCCTGTCTGCGCGCAGAGGTGAGGGGCCCCTGTGTGGCCTGTCTGCGCGCAGAGGTGAGGGGCCCCTGTGTGGCCTGTCTGCGCGCAGAGGTGAGGGGCCCCTGTGTGGCCTGTCTGCGCGCAGAGGTGAGGGGCCCCTGTGTGGCCTGTCTGCGCGCAGAGGTGAGGGGCCCCTGTGTGGCCTGTCTGCGCGCAGAGGTGAGGGGCCCCTGTGTGGCCTGTCTGCGCGCAGAGGTGAGGGGCCCCTGTGTGGCCTGTCTGCGCGCAGAGGTGAGGGGCCCCTGTGTGGCCTGTCTGCGCGCAGAGGTGAGGGGCCCCTGTGTGGCCTGTCTGCGCGCAGAGGTGAGGGGCCCCTGTGTGGCCTGTCTGCGCGCAGAGGTGAGGGGCCCCTGTGTGGCCTGTCTGCGCGCAGAGGTGAGGGGCCCCTGTGTGGCCTGTCTGCGCGCAGAGGTGAGGGGCCCCTGTGTGGCCTGTCTGCGCGCAGAGGTGAGGGGCCCCTGTGTGGCCTGTCTGCGCGCAGAGGTGAGGGGCCCCTGTGTGGCCTGTCTGCGCGCAGAGGTGAGGGGCCCCTGTGTGGCCTGTCTGCGCGCAGAGGTGAGGGGCCCCTGTGTGGCCTGTCTGCGCGCAGAGGTGAGGGGCCCCTGTGTGGCCTGTCTGCGCGCAGAGGTGAGGGGCCCCTGTGTGGCCTGTCTGCGCGCAGAGGTGAGGGGCCCCTGTGTGGCCTGTCTGCGCGCAGAGGTGAGGGGCCCCTGTGTGGCCTGTCTGCGCGCAGAGGTGAGGGGCCCCTGTGTGGCCTGTCTGCGCGCAGAGGTGAGGGGCCCCTGTGTGGCCTGTCTGCGCGCAGAGGTGAGGGGCCCCTGTGTGGCCTGTCTGCGCGCAGAGGTGAGGGGCCCCTGTGTGGCCTGTCTGCGCGCAGAGGTGAGGGGCCCCTGTGTGGCCTGTCTGCGCGCAGAGGTGAGGGGCCCCTGTGTGGCCTGTCTGCGCGCAGAGGTGAGGGGCCCCTGTGTGGCCTGTCTGCGCGCAGAGGTGAGGGGCCCCTGTGTGGCCTGTCTGCGCGCAGAGGTGAGGGGCCCCTGTGTGGCCTGTCTGCGCGCAGAGGTGAGGGGCCCCTGTGTGGCCTGTCTGCGCGCAGAGGTGAGGGGCCCCTGTGTGGCCTGTCTGCGCGCAGAGGTGAGGGGCCCCTGTGTGGCCTGTCTGCGCGCAGAGGTGAGGGGCCCCTGTGTGGCCTGTCTGCGCGCAGAGGTGAGGGGCCCCTGTGTGGCCTGTCTGCGCGCAGAGGTGAGGGGCCCCTGTGTGGCCTGTCTGCGCGCAGAGGTGAGGGGCCCCTTGGGGTCACCTGACCAGTACCTGAGATGGGTTGGGCCGGATCGGGGGTCACCTGACCAGTACCTGAGATGGGTTGGGCCGGATCGGGGGTCACCTGACCAGTACCTGAGATGGGTTGGGCCGGATCGGCATTGGGCCCCGGGTATATTCTGGAGTCACA